CAACAAGTCCAAAATTTGCCAGCTCTGTTTTGGACACTCCTCAGTAAATGCCTGGGATTAACTCTGATTTCTTGCTCGGGTTGGGGAGGAGGATTGTGTTATCTGATCAGGATGTCGTTCAGCGTAATTGGTGGTTCTTCCCAGACGTCCTCGGAACTTGGGTAGAGGGGCCGGCTGTTGATCATGTAGGTAGTTTCAACCAGGAATGTCCTCCACTGTTCTTCAGTAAGCGCCTGGTTCTTACACACACTGTTGAGGGCTTGTCTGACGGACTTGATTAGCGACTCGACAATTCTGTTTTGATGACTTGCACGTGGGGTGTCCCACTGCCACTCGAAATTGCAGGCAAATTCCTCTGAAACGGTGCTTTGTATCTTGGGAATGTCCCAGCCTTGCATCACCTCCCTCAAGTATTCCTGTGCTCCAACAAAGTTCGAGCCACAGTCCGACCAGCACATTTGGGTGGCCGCGTAGGGACGCGAATCGACAGAAGGCCATTAGGAAGGCTTCAGTTGTTTTGTGTGTTACAAGTTCCAGGTGAATTGCTTTGGTTGTTGTGCAGGTAAAGATAACGACTTGCGCTTCTTGGAGTGTTCTCCGGTTCAATCGGATCTGCAGTGACCCGAACATATCCATAGCTGTGTTCAAAAATGGGGGAAATCCGGCTGCTACTCGCAAACTTGGTACTTGGCCCATTAACTGATCGAGGAGTTTTCTGCGCAGTTTCCAGCAGATGACGCACTTGCTTACAACGGCCTTGGCCATTTTCCTGAGCCCGATAATCCAAAATTTTCGCCTTGCTTCATGCATCAGGCTCTTTTAGCCGCAGTGTCCTCGTTTCCGGTGTAGGTGACGCAAGAGGAGGATCGCCAGTTGATGGTCTCTGGGCAACACGATAAGGTTTCTCATGTCTTTCGGGAGGATTCTGGCATTTTCAAGATGGCCATGAGCTCTGATTAGCCCTTCCTCATCAGTTTTGGCGATTAACTTCTTGTCGAGGCTTGGTATGTCTATTGGAAGCTGACTCCATTTTAAAAGCTGTAATTCTGAGTGCATGAGTTCTTGAACGTCAGGGAGCCTTTTGCTACAGCTGTGCATCTTGTAGCTCCAACAAAACAATGCACGTAAGCCAGGACTCTGCGGATCTTTGTGAATGTCGATCATCTTTGCAGCAGGTAGCTAAAGATGGGATTGTTCTCCTTTCCTTCAGGAATGGAGGTGACATGGAACTCTCTTGTTTTATAGTCTCTTTTGTCAACTTGCCTCTGCTTCGTGGTAGTCTTCATTTGTGTCTACTCGTTCCTGGTGAGGACTCTGCTCATCATCTTCAAATTGAGACCGTTTGGTTTCCGGAAACCTTAGAAACGGCGGTCCTGACATCCAGCTTTCAAGATCACTGGCCGCAATTCCTCTAGTGAGGGCATCTGCTGGGTTGTACTTGGACTTGATATAGCAGAATTGTTCTGATCCCACTGTTTCTTGAATTTCTGCAACTCGAACTGATACAAATGGTCTGAATTCGCGAGGTGGGGTCTTGATCCACGAGTTTGAGAGTCTATCCAGAAGGTCTTGTCGTAATCCTTGAAATTAACAAAGGCCAGTGCCTCTTGGCATGTGTTGTAAATCCTTGTGAGTGCTAGGCACCCCAAGAGTTCAAGTCGAGGGATCGTTTTCTGTTTCAGCGGGGCAACAAAGGGCTTGACAATCACGGGGACGCATTGATGGTTTCCATCGTGTAACTTCCAGCGGAGGAAAATGGTAGCGCCTTACCCCAGTTCTCCTCCATCCGCAAAGCCATGTACTTGAGGTGGACCGATTGCCTCTGTTGGTTTCAGTTTATGGCCAGATTTAAAGGTAAGAAGTCGATTTATGATTTCTTCACTCTCCTTCCACTTTTGCTGTGTAGCTTCTGGGATGATGTCGTCCCAGCCGTATCCAGCACTTCATAGCTCTTGCAGGTCAATTCGGAATTTAAGCGTCACTGGTGCGATGAGGCCAATAGGATCCCACACCTGGGCTAGAAGGGCAAGGCAGGTTCTCTTCGTGAAGTCTTTATTCTGTCTCACAACGGAATCCTTCTTCAGAGAAAATGTGTCTTCTTGCTTGTCCCACTTGTGACCAAGCAAATCTGTGTAACGTTCATCCTTGGTTTGGTCGACTTCCGGCCTGTTTGAGTGCCAAGCCTTAATCTGAAATTGACCTTTTCCAAGCACCTGGTCAATTGTACTGGTGACATGCTTGGCTTCAACAGTGGTTGACCTGGATCCACCAATGTCATCAACATAGGTTCGTTCCTGGAACGCTTTTGCTGCTTCGGAAAACTCATCTTGTGACACTTTGGCCAGGATGTTGGTGGCATTCGAAACAATGTCCGGAGCTGGCTTGTCACCAAAGTTTTGTCGGAGCCACTGGTACACGGTGGGAAGATCATGCTGATTTTTTCTCCACAGGAATCTATGGAAAACCTGATCATCTGGGTGTACCAGCACTTGGTTAAACATCCAACTTCATCCCAGCACCATGTTGTCAAAACTTTGGGCAGGCTGTTGATGTAATTTGGTCCCTTCTCTAAATGATCATTCAAGGAGAGACCATCGTGACCTTTGGCGGAAGAATCAAACACAAGTCTGACTTTTGTACTCTTTTCTGGGGTAAATACTGCTTGGAGTGGCATGTACCATTCTGGCTGACTGTGATTGACATTCTCCTGTGGTACCTTGATAACGAAGCCTTGATCCTCCAGTTTTTGAACTTCTTCACTCACGATGTCAAAGCAATCTTTCTTCTTAAACGATTTCTCCGCACAATACATTCTCTTCAAAGCAATGTCATAATTACTTTGCTTAGGAGGCCCAGTTTCTTTCCATGGCATTCTGACTTGCACTCTTCCGTCCACCAGTGTTGTCGAGGCTGAGAGGGCTTTCACAAACTTGTTTTCGCGTAGAACATTTTCGCTGCAGGTACACAGTTGCATCTTGATGAACGAGTTTCTTGATGTCTTCTACAGCATTCACAGTTGCGACGTCTACTGATTTGATTTCAGGCATGTCTTTTGAATCTGGATCTACTTGGCCCAAAACATACCAGCCAAAACAATTCCTCTTAGCAACAGGTTC